GTGAATATTTCTATGGTATTATCTTATTTTGATGCTAGACCAAAAGAAGAGCGTTATGCTTTTAACACAACTCTAATTTACTCGAATATATTTTCGATAGTTTTGTATGATTTCTTTGTAACGGATAACTTTCTCATTGCTATAACAAAAGAAATGATGAACATTTTTGCAGAGCCCCAAGACAGCTGAGCATCTGAAAACTGTAGACCTGATAAATAAAACCCAGCCTCCTGGTTACACCCACTTCCATTTCCACGAAAAAAAATTTGCTCCAGTAAAAAAGCTGACCCAGGTAAGCTAGCAGTCATCTTATCTAGCTGCGCTGATTTTTCCGCTTTTGTGGCTCACACTTCCTCTCTCTTTGCCGTTTTATCTATTTCGTCATCCTTATGTGCTCTTCTTCTTCGTCGTCATCGTCATCGTCGCCATTTTTTCTGCTGTTTTCATTCATTGGTTCGCTGTCATTTGAAGGCGACCTATAGCTGCTCATCGTATCGCTACTATCAGTAGTAACAGCAGCAGTGGTACCGTTCCTTTTTTTCTTCTGCTGCTGTGCTAGGTTGTCGGTTGATCATAGGATGATCATTCACTCGCGGTTCGCTGTCCGCGTTTCTCTGTTGTCTGCTGGATAGAAGCGCTGGCTGTCCCTCGTCATTGGCGCCGACGCCGCCGGCGGTCAGCTAACGAACAGCGCAGCCATTGCTGCGACTGCTCCTTCTGCAGCGGCTTCTATGATGATTCGCGCTGCTGCCGTCACCATCGCCAGCGCCGACAGCAGCACCATTGCCAGCTGTAGCTGTTCTATCGGCAGGAGCGGCCGCACCCGCCGCGGCGGTAACGATGACGGCGGCGGCGGTGGCGGTGACGGTGACGACGACGACGACGACGACGATGACGACGACGACGACGACGACGACGGCGGCGGCGGCGGCGGCGGCGGCGGCGGCGGCCGATCACTCAAGCAAACAATCAGCCAACGAGTGGCGAGAGGCTGGCGGCAAAAATAGCCGCGAGTTTGTACCTGGTGGTGCAGTTCGGCCAGACAAACCGACAGGCTCATTGGCAGAATAGCGAGTACCGAGCGAGCAGACGGACGGATGGACTGACGACAAACCAAAGGCAGTAGCAGCAGCGACAGGCGCCGCCGCTGCCGCCACAGTAGCAGCACCAGCGAGGTGGCAGTAGCTGCAGCCTTCAAGCCCTGTCCCATTCCGTCTGCGGCTCCCGCTACTGCCCAACCAGAGCAGCGTTGGCAGCCGAGCGAGTGGTGTCGCGACAGCCATCAGCGTATACAGTCAGCATCACAGAGAGCAAACCGAAACGAGACAAGACGAAGTTTTGTATTCACGTGCTGCGTGTTGTTCGTGTCCCACTTTGTTGGTGCTGATGAACAAATAGACAGAGGGACGGATAGGCAGATAGATAGACAGACGGACGGACGGACGGACGGACAGGGCGAGGAGGATAAAAACAGCACAGTCTTTGTGGACAGCGGTGAAAATCGGCGGCTTCACTAGTAACCAACAGCAGCAGCAGCAACGGCGGCACACAAAAAGAAATCGCACTCTCAGACAGCCATCGTTGGCGCTGTGTAGCTGCCAATGACGGCTTCGTCTGTCGTGCTCGTCGTCACTGTTCGGTTTTTTCAATCGTTCGCTCGTTGTACGTTTATCCTTCGTTAACTACTGCTGCTGCTGGGTAGTCGCTACTGCTGCCCGCTTGATCGGCGACTGGATTCGTGCGTGCGAGAGCAGCAGCTGCAACGGTGATAATCTCCTGTGCGGGTGTTCTCTCGCAACTAAAAAACCGCCGTTCAAAATAACAGCAGCTTGGAAGGTAAAAGCCTGTGGTGTGTGTATCACCAATATTTCACGCAGTGTTTTGCCGCTACTCGGACTGTGCTGTGTTTCTTGTTTCGTCGGTGTTCGACGCCTGCCCACAAGAGATAACATATACTGTTATTATTATTGTTTGTTATTATTATCATTATCGGCGTATGAGAAATGTTCGGATTCTGTGTTGTGTGTGTTTAAGTCGTTTCTCTTGGATTTCTCTTCTTACTGTGTGTCCGCCGTGTGAATGATTGTGGTCTTACCGGTGGGGCAAGGGACAAACGGGATTTGATTATCCCTTCCTGTCGTATGTCTTACAAATATGATTACTGAACTTAATTACGAATAGTTGTCGCTGCAGTTCTAAACGGTACGTTGTACACGTCGTGGGTGACGAGTTTATTAAGAGTAGCAGCGGCAGCTGCTGCTGCTGCTATCTCTAGCGTTGTTACTTCGCACAGTTTGCTCGTTCACGGTAAACCAACCACCGTTGCCGTGTTCGGCTCGGCTGGGGGATCTGTTGCGGCAGTAAGCACCCGAAGACTTAACGAGGGTTTGTGCAAAGAGAAGATACTGACGAGTTGTGAGTGCCGTCGTTTAAGTCCAATATGTGCTAGCGCCCGGATCTGGTAGCAGTGCCTTTTACCTAATGCCCCCAGTATCATTTTCTTATCGATATTCATCGGTCGTCGCAGTGATTGTGTCAGTGGTGATTGTGCGTTCCAGCGGCCAGCGAGCCGTTCCGGTCGCTGTTGTTGTCCGTTCCTGTGCCCCCTAAGGAGAACATTAGCAGGTGCTGCAAGTACTGTTGTTGCAGGTTACTGCAACTTTGTCACAACTAAAACATATTGCTTATTATACTCCACAGCGTAGAAAAAGGAAAGTTATCGAACCCACCACTAACACGAAAGTGACAAGTTTGGCGGATTCTAGCCTCGTCTGCTGTTCGATCAACGGGTGGAGCACGGTGGAATAAACGGAATAATAATAATTATTATAAAATCATCATTATCATAATCACTTCGTGTTATCTGTGCTAAATCGAAGAACAGTTGGTTCCCGTCATAGCTGTCGCTGCGAGTGGTATTGGGTCTTGTGTTATTAATGGTGTAAGGTACTACACTGCCTACGAATCGCACAAGAATTACTTTACAACGATATTCAGTAGTCAGCAGTTGCAGAAACGCGCCTGCTGTGCTGTCTACTGTAGGCAAAAATAAACGAGAAATGGAGAACATGGTCAAGGAAGACGTCTTCCAGGCTCTGACTGAGTTTGGCCGGAAGGGCGACTCCCCTATCCCGCGATTGCTTGAAGACTACCTCCGCTTCGTCGCCAATACGGGTGATACAATCTTCCCTTGGTCAGTCATTAAGGCACTAGTGCGACGCAAAATCGAACAGGTTTGTGGCTATTTCGTTCCTTACTTATCATGTAGAATACGATCTGATACTTGATCGTGTTATTGTTATTGTTGTCGCTGCGTGATGGTGGTGGTGTTGCTGGTCATAGGAACTGATGAGTGATGGAAATCTGATCGATTCAACGAACTCTTATGGTGCTAAATCGAGTTAGGAGGCTGCCTGTATTGGATGGCACCCCTATTGCCTTTATTGCGGTGTGCCGTAAAAGTGCGCTAACACGAACCGTATACATTTTACTTGAACTGGACAAACGGGATTTTGTCTACAAAAACAAACGTAATGAGCTTAAGCACATAGATACAGGCACAGAGGTACATATTTTTACCATCGCATGTAAACAGAGTGTAAATAAACAATATTTAAATATTGAGATGTAAGCAAGTGTTATTTGACGGCCTACTACGTGGCTATGCGAAATCTATCTATGATTTACGAATTGTTACCTGTTATATATAGCGCATCGATCAGCTGCGTTATATAATAGGTAACACACTGGTTGGTCGCAATGGTGCAGTCAGAAAATTCAAGATACGTAAAGGAAGACAAGCATTCATATGCTGTGTTTATCATTTGCCAGACGTTAAGTCCTTAATTAATGGAAAGCTTAAATGCCGGGTCATTGCATAGGTATTTTATGCACATAAATAATCACTGCCGAAAAATATATATATATAAATATATATATATATATATATATGGTAAATCATCCCGCCGCAAAGTCAACTACGAGCTACAACGGTATCGTAACGTCTGTGTGTGATGCGAGTCTGCGTGATGCAGGCGTGAGTTGTGTCCCTGCCGCTGCAGCTGCAATCGTGATGCTGTTACATTTCCGCGGGCAAACGGAGCATTTATATACTAGTTTTGTCGGCGATACTAGAGCAGGGCATTTTTTCCTTTAGCAGCAACACCGCGGCGGCGACGACGACGACGACGACGACGACGACGACGACGACGACGACGACGACGACGACGACGACGACGACGACGACAACGACGACGACGACGACGACGACGACGACGACGAGCCGCCGCCGACGACGACGACGACGACGACGACGACGACGACGACGAGACGACGACGACGACGACGACGACGACGACGACGACGGCGACGACGGCGACGACAACGACGACAACGACAACGACGACGACGACGACGACGACAGTTACAGTCAGTAGTCACTGACCGACACTGCTGCTGTTGATGATGATGACGATGGTGCTGTGGTCTTCATAGCATCATATGAGTTGTTGCCGCTGCTGCTGTTGTTAGTGGAAAATGGGGCCGCCATTCCTGGGGTTCTCCTTGCTCGTCCGTGTTGTCGTAGTTGTTGTCGACGTCGTTAGACAAGTCACAGCCGTAGGTGCTGTGCTGACCGGACCTACAGAACGCGACTTAGCTAACTGATCGTATATGCATCGGAATGGCGGGCGTTTGTTGCCCCCCCTTACCACGTTGACACTGCAGCATACCACACGATCAGCTCTTTAGTGCATTGTATAGATAAAACAGTAACATTGTATATTCGATAGCCGGCAAAAAACGGCCAGCTAACGTGGGACAATCGTGATGCAAACGTGTGACTGCTATCTAATGGTGTTATTATCTAGTAGAATCACACTTTGCGTGTATGGCTCTGTATAAGTATGTGCGCGCTTTTAGATAAATGCGCTCGTGTTATGTAGTCGATATCGCGTCTGTATTTCCATTAAATGGACACGTTAATAACAAACAGTAAAAAAAATGAATTCTAATAATTACTGCAGTTTTTTTTCACAAGTATCTGAAATTTTAGATGTTTTCACATTGTCAATGAACTTAAGGCCATCGAGAATCTACGTTACAAAAACAGTAATTTTTTTTAGGAATCGGCCGTTTTGATTGAGCACAATTAATGGCAACACGTGCTGGTGGTACTTTCGGTTTAAAAGCCGTCTCGTTATTCTTTATGAAAGAACTATTGACCTGTATGACGTAAAGATCACATAACCAGTTTTTGGAAATATACATGTCAAACGCTTCCTCTTATGTATGTATTATAAAGTGGCTCCACCGCGCAACCTTAACGTAGATAATGATAGTAGCAAATGAATTACATACTACGGTAACTGCATACAACACTCGTGCCAATGAATGATCTGACAGACACAGTTAAGCGATGTTCTTAAGCTAAACAAAAAACAGCCTTGATGACTATTGAAAAACAGAGACCTGAATGTTTTACTGTAATGTAATATACTGTATATAATATGTAGTATAACAAAGTAAACATCGAAGGAAAGAATAAAGTGCGCGCTCGAACTGAGGATACTATTCTCTTTGTATCTATAAAGCATATATAACAGTAAAGTTTACATTGTTAGAGGTGAGATGATCTCGCATGGGACATTTTTGGATAAGGACATTTTATGGTCGTCGTGTGCGTTCGTTGGATAACATTTCGTTCATTGATGAGCTTTCGTTAGAGTTCGATGGATTTACACTTATGCTGTCTCTATGCAATTAGCAAACTGGAGATTATCACAGAAGGCGAGAGCCGATAAGAAGAGTACGGTGAGAGATGACATCGAATCCTCTGTATTTAACCTAACGCATTGCCCTAACGCCATTGCTTTGAATATTGCACGATTCCACCAATAAAAAAAAGCCCGCTATCTTGTGTAATGTCCAAACACAGAAAAAGCGGCAAACATTGACAACAACTATGATATACATCTACGGAATTCTATGTTGTTTCGATTGCACTGACTGCTATTCTCTGGGCGAAAGCAGCTCATTAAAGATGGCTTCATTAAACATTACTTGTAAAAATTGAAATCTGTATGAAATAATTATTACTGGTCAAGCCGCGACTACAGTGTTCCCTATTGAGGGTAGAATTCTCTTACATTGTGTTACACATATATTTTATATATTAGGTACAATCTTTAGGTCTGATGCGAATAGAATACTACCTGTGTTTTCATACTGCGACGTAAATCGACTATGAGTCACGACAGGCTATAAGCAAATCCAGTTTCTATGTTACGAAATGAAAATCGTGCCCAGGAAGTCATCGAAGGTCGTACCACCGTTTAAAAATAAACTACACGAAGCCCTTAGACTTTAAAGATTAAAGCCGAACAGTTAAATAATTTTTATGACGGACAAGTCGTCATGAATGAATATTACGCTGACAGCCATAACCTATCGATTCATGGTGTTCTGTGTAAATTTACCTGCTGTAAGCCACTATACAAAAACGTTTTTAATCACTTGAATAGGCCGAATCCAGTAAAATTCAAAGTAATAATGATTTTTCAGTCGACTTTTGTATAAGTGTATTGGTGCTCGAGTTAATGACAAATACCGTTAAGCAATAGATTTCGTAACCGTTGTTCCAACTACTTCGCGCTTCAATATTTTTTTGTTACTTTCTCAGATCGGACATATGTTTGGTTAGAGTATCTTCTTTTCAATAACTTTCCATATATCATTGGTTGTATTGCTTGGGTCAAAGAAACCGCTAGAAAAAAAAAACTAATAAAGTAGGTCAACATTCCCTTTTGAAATAAAGCATTAATTTACTTTGATCTAATCTCGTCATCAACCTCCGCTTTGAGATATTTTTCCTGCGACAAGCGCACGCTGAAATTGACCTATTAGTAAGTGAAGCAAAAACGTTTCCAGAAAATTTATTAAGGTATTGTACAACTTGTAAAAGAATCGCGGATCTGTTTTTATTTAGATGCAGCTTACAAACAAATAACATTATATTTGACCGTTTTGAAAGATAAATTACATTAAAGGAATTTGATATGAATAATTCAGAGTGATATATGATGCCAAATGTAAAGTGTACGCATTCAGGGTAAATTTGACGTCTTTGAAGGGTCATTGCACATAAGTTAGAGCACACAAAGAAGAAGAAACTAATATCGTCTGCTACTAGAAAAAAACACTGTTTTAGGCGTTTGCGTTTTTTCTATGTGTACCCCCAAAGCAAAGAAACTAGCCGTTGACCTTTACACGATCTCGCCAAACCTGCGATCTTAGGAGGATGTGCTCATTCTGGTGTACTATGACAAATTAATGTACTGTGCCCGCAGATAAAATCTGCAGTAGATAGAAACATGCTACGTTTTCTTGAGAATTAAAGCTTTACCTCAAGATATGACGTAAAGTAAATATTTCAGTAAAGGGTAAAATCTCAAAACACCAATCCCCTGCAGTAAATAATATCGCTTGTGGTTGTATATTGATTGGGGAGTAACAGAAGGCAATGCTTATAGTTACGCTACTTCAGCTTTCATTGTAGATTTGCTGCGTACCTTTGAAGTGACCTATAATGCTACGGAGATTCTACTGAGAAGGCAAACGAACGCTGTTTATAAAAAAATTGGGTATATGCATTTTATAGTTGTCCAAGAACGGTAACGTTGTGTTTAGGAACATGTTGCTAGACGTAGTATATAAATTAGGTTTCTAATTATGTAAATTATCTTGTGCCAAAAGTACGCGAATATCAATATCCACTTGTATTAAACTGATGGAAAATGTACATTTTAGTAGTACAGCTTTAAAATTATGAGATATATGAAAGCACGTCTAGTTAGTTTGTGTCTTTCAGTGGGTTTGTCGTTCTCCTTAATGGCTCTATCTAGAGAAAATATTGAAAAATATGCACCATGATCTTTGCTGAACTTGCCCAAAATCACTTGCACTGGATATTTCGATGTCCTTTACAGGCTGATTTTCTCTCAAGTGTTCGTTGTCTATTTTTAACTTTATCCAGATAGTAAAGTTTAAACCAACCAAAGCGTTTAACTGCCTTTTCAAACTTTTTCACCAGGTTAAATCTAAAGATATGACACACTAACAGGTCAAATAGATCAATACGATTAGTTCTTTCGGATACCGTATCGCGAATAGTGTGCCGTCTGTCGACAAATAGGATATTCCAGCTTTGGAGTGGATTAAATTATCAGTCTGATAACGCATGCCCTATTTCCACTATTTATTTGATTATATTTATTCCATAATTTATAGTTAGGTCTTGTAGGTAGATTGCTACCTAATAGGCACGTGTACACTGTCTGTGAGGTTGCAATTTTCTATTATATTTTTGATAGTGGAACAACGTCACCATGTGGAGGTCCATACAAGCAAGATTTAAATTTAATAAAGTCTATGCAAAAAATATATATTTTTATTTGCTTAAGCAAAATCATTCCGTTTGTGGTAGACTTTCAGCTGTTTGCTTGCCTAATAACGTTTCTCCGTATGATTTACTTTACATTAGAGAATTCTGTGTGTGTTCTAGGCCCAGTAGTAATAATGAGCTACCTTCCAGGCTCCCAGATACAATATCTGCTGAATAGCATTTATGGTCGTAACAAATTATTGAACTGTTATTGGTGTATAAAGCCTCTCAATAAGTAAAAGCAGGTGCAAACAATGTAGCACCGGTTTTGCAAATGGGTATCATTTGGCTCAGGACTGAAACATACGAGGAATATGGAAGAAGCCTATCTGAGTAAGCTGCTAAGGATGTTAGTAGTTATCCAAAAGAGAGAGAGAGAGAGAGAGAGAGAGAGAGAGAGAGAAAACAACTTCTGTTGATTGCAGGAGTTATATATTTGACTGGCGAATAGTCAAGATTTCAACGTGCGTATGCGTGTCACTATCGAACTAGCACTTCTTGTTATAAATAAATACGCAAATGAAAATAACGTTGCCGTCAAATCTGTACTCGTCCTTACAGGTGTTATGCGATTTTTTGTTGGTATCATCCCCGGACTCCGTTCCAGCATCTCCGAACGTTGACCCTTTCAAATACGCTCTGATGCGCGAAAAGATCCTTGAAGCTCTTGAGTACTTCACGCAAGCACCGTTTACCATCCAGAGGTTATGCGAAGTGATGGTAGAACCGAAGAAATACTATAAGAGGATTGACAAACTTATGCGAGGTACATGATGGTTATTTGTCGTCGTTTTTTCTTTTCGTAGTTATTACTATCTTGATTTTTTGAAACAACTTTCTGGCTCGGCTAAGTAAGAACTGCAAAAAGGAACGTCATTTTGTTAGAAATATATATGCAAGCAAGGAACGTAGCTTTAACGCCACCTACTTCGCCTTTTGGTGCAGCAATTGAAAAAAACCTCCTAGTAACGACAACCGTTGATCCGCGACGGCCTGCGAGTCCAAATGGAGAAACGGCACAAGCAAGCGGCGTAGTCAATGGCTACGACGAACGGGCAAATGGACACCATCCTGCTGGGCTTCGTGGAGTATCGGGAGTTCCCGAGGGCGCTCAGCTCAATGCAGATGCAGCAAGTGCAGGCCTGGACGAAGAAGAACCCATGGACATCACAGGTCCGCCAGCTCCACAACCGCACGCTGTTCTTGGTAGGTTTCATTAATCTCATTACTGAAGTACACAGTCAATGTGTCTTTGTACCAATTGTGACCGGCTACGCAAAAGTAATACGAAATTTAAGGCTGCAATCAAAGCTTTCGCTTAGTTTATGATACTTAGCCCCAGTCATCATAATCATCGATATTAAGCGGCTAATAAGTAGTATATTGCTTCGTATCATTATTTATGATTACAGACTGTCCTGCCGAGGCCATGGAAGGCTGCGAAGATGAGTCCGGAGAAGACATCGATGTCGATCAGGACAATCCCCAACCGACTGATAACCCCAGCCACGGAGTAGCATCAACAACAGGTTCGGGAATTGCCAACACAACCTCCGTTGAGTCTGATGGCCATAACCGCGTACAGCAACAATTAGACAACAGTAACAGTGGCGCCAGTGGCGGCGTCGCCGGAGCTAACACCAGTGTTCAGGAGACAGGCGCAACAGCAGCCAAAAGTGGAGCAGGGAGCGGTGGGGGTGGCTCGTCCCAGGAAAATTTGCTTCATATTCAACAGCAGATGCGCGAACAGCAGCAGCAACAGCAGTTGATGGCGATGACTGGATTTGATGCGGCGTCAACCACGACAGCAGCTGGAGTTAACAAGACTGAAGGTTCTGCAGCCGGGTCTGGTGGGATAGGTTCCAAACCCGGGCCCATGGCAATGGAAAACCCCCCTGCTGGTTTGGGGTCGGGAACAGGTCAAGCAGGCCCTGGTGCCGCTCTCAATGATGAAGACAGCTGTAGCGATGTCGAGGCAGAAGGGGAGGGAGAACAGGACATGATACTCATGATGATGAGAGGCTCTCGAGGGGAGAGCGGACAAGACAACGAGCTTGAGCAGCAGGTAAGTAAACAGCTACCAATAGTGCCGATATTGTTGAAGATAAACAAATACTGTTTTGTCTTAAATTCAACTAAAAATAGTACATTCTTATGAGGCATGTTTTTTGGAAACGTCGTTTGTTGACTTTCAGTTGTGCTTTGTTTCCGGCCGCACTTGATTGCTCTTACAAATGTGCAGCGTATACAGTAGTACGTCGATGATAGGCGTTGGAGTCGCATAGATCCTGCATTTTTTTTACCAGACCTTTGATGTTATCGGTGCGTTTAAGAATCACACCCCACTAGACTGCTTATCGAACAATCACCAAACAATGGTAGTAATCTTTTTGTGTTATTCTACGGGACGTTTCCAGGTTCCCCAGTTTGGATCGTGCGAATCGGGCGAGTCTGGAGGCTTATCGCCTGTTCAGTTTCAGAATGTGTCATCGCAGTCATCACAGGACGCGAAAAAGGAGAATCAGACGCAACAGCATCGTACGTCATCTCTAACGACAAGAACAAACTTAACGTCAGAAAGCACCACGCCAACAGCAGCGGGAAGCCAAGGCAGTCCCAGTGGAAGCCAGAGTTCACTCGTGGAAAGCAGTCAACAGCTACAGACAGATGGTGATAGCAACACCGAAGATACTACCAACCAAATCAGCCAGAACAACGAGGCCAAATCTCCCGAACCGCATCAAGAACAGGACAAAATTGTTAAGAGAGCCACGTCACGGTCACTGGGGAATAGCGAAGCGTTGGCATTGTCTGGAGGTGACCAGAACGGCGGGAGAACCGATGAAAATGGAAGGGTAAATAGACGCGGGCAGACAACACTAATGGAGAATACCGAGGAAGGAAGTATCGGGCAGAGTTCGAGTGAGCGAAGCCTGTCGGTAGCATCCGAAGCCTCCGTTAGTCGACTAGTTAAAATCGCAGGATCATCATCGTCCAAAACGAACGATGCCGAAACAGGGGAGCAGGTAGATCTTGATCCTACAGGCTCACCACCGAAAAACGAGGCTATCGCGAAGTAGTGATCGATCTCGAAATAACAAATCGCGGACGCAATTGAATTTCTTAATTAGTTAAATTAAGGAAATAAAGAATGACAAAGACATAGTTGGAATAGTTTAGGTGAAGAAGACTGTTTATATAGAATGAATATATGATCATATTAATAATAGCAGAGCAAAAGGCAACGCCAACAACAAAGCTATTCAAAATCCATTACAAAATTAAGTGGACGAAGCGGGAACAAATTAGCGTGCGCACACGAAACATATTTAGAAAGCGGAAAATGGTGAGCCGCATAAGGTGTGCTACCTTCCCGTCAGGGCGACGGGTGATAGGTAGTTTAGAAACGTTGTCAAAACAAGATAAACCAGTTGCTGAATTAATGATGTTGATCGTCAGCAAAGTTGCGGAAACTTAGGGAGCTATAGGGGATAAGTGGCGCAAGCGAATGATAAGCGACAGGCAACAGAAAAGGCGTAGTTTACTAGTTATTATTATTATTATGCATAAGTAATAACAGAACGAAGATAACGCGACGAAAGAAAGTGGTGCCCAAGTTATTATATGAGATAGACAATATAAAATACTTCCTCGTTCGCTGTTATATACAAAGTGCTCGCTTATGACGAAGATGGTGAAAACGTGTATGTACAGTTTTAATATGTGTGATGACGACGCCGATGAAAATAAGTTAGAAATAAGTGGCAAAAGAGAAGGCTGCTATGCTTTTATTCAGATGCCGTATAATACGAGATGCATCGGCACTGGCGGCGCGAATTTATTAGAAACACAGCATAGAAGAAGCACAAATAGTGTTATTCTAGCCTCTAGATTAATCGGCTAACATGGAGGGCATGTAGGTGTTAGCAGGAGATCAGGGAGCTCATACATAAAGGCAAAGCGTACAATTTGAACTATACAGGCGATGATCGTAGTCAAATAATGAACACTGTTTTGCTTTAGAACTAGTAGAACTAAAGCGAAGGAGTGTAGAACAATTTGTTGCATTCGCCATTATGCTGCCATTATTATTTGTCGACTTCGCTTGAACTACTGCTCTGATCTACAGATCCACAACGTATAAGTCTGGATGAAGTTTAGCTGAATCAGAGCGGCGCTCAGCACACGGAATAGGGCAACGGAGATGGGGCGGGGGGGGGGGAGGCACTGAACGTAAGAAGCTGCTGTAAAAAGACAGAGAATTGTCAGTCTTCTATGCCTATTCCATCACAGACTTACTGAAATAACTCGGACATGTATTTCACACAGCCAAACGCACTTATTCAAATGTTTTTGAGTCAGATAGCAGCAGCAGCAGCATAAGACAGTACAGCAGAGAAGTCACGTAGTTCGTATAGAGCAGCCTATACGCATAGACGAACGTAATGCAGCGAGCGAAGATTGAGTAACGCCGAACTTACTTAATATGTGTACGAAAATGCAAATATAGTAGAGCGACATTATACCAACAAACACGCTACGAATGCATGTTGAAACGAAAATCATACATCAATAACGTGAAATAACAAACATTCAGTGAGAGCGTATGGGCGAAACGTATGAAGAACGGTAGGTAATGGTTATTTAGAAGGTGGACGAAAAGATTGCTACTAGCAGCAGTGTAACGTGTTATCTGAGGTGGACATTTTTAAAACACAGGGGACACGCAGAAGAAAGTCAATCGCAACAATTAGGACATCATTATGAGAGTTTAGCAACGGCAACACCATCAATAGTAACAGCAAAGCAACAACATTAATAAATAAGGACAATAATACAGTAATTATAATGTGTGAAACTGTCTAGCCGATATGGCGCTGCCATGAACGCAGTGTCCTGTGTATATTTTTGGATAGAAATAAATGAATAAATATTGACAAACAGCTTCATGATCGTGTACAAAATAGATCATTCTGGTGTTCCTATTATTACCGACATGAATGTGCAAAAGTAATAGGTATATCCATCATAACTCTTGTCCGTCGGATCATGTACGTGAAAACTAGCATAATTGTTGTGCGTGCAAATGTTTCTGCTTTTCACTCGTGTGTGTATAGGCTCTCAGTGTTGTTCGAACTTCATTTTCTTCTTGCCACTTGAGTATTTCAGTCTCAGATAACTAAAATTACTTTATCGAAGTATATCTGCCACTGTTGTTACAAATTGCTAACTCATTTTGATTTTTCATCGTATTCGGTGTAGAAGGTAGGTCAGTCTTCGTGCCACATGTCTTATTACGACCACCTTTTGTTCGTCACCGGTTGTACGCCTGTTATCTCGTATATCATGTATAGCTACTGGTTCCATAGTATTGTACTATTTAATGTCATCATCTAATAGATATTTGCTAGCTATGGCAGTATTCTGCATCAAAAGCATGAGTTGTCCGGCACCTGATTTAGTGTCAATACGTCGTCAGCTTGTTCTCTATGTTGGCCTATGGCCCAACTCCTTGTGCAAAGCCGTAGTTCACTCTGCTGGCTATTTCAACAAACGCCATTGCTTTTTTCCATCTAGATTAGGCAGTATATAAGCTCTCAAGCTCAATACTGCTTTAGTTAAGAATTGCTGTTCGAAACGGCTGATGACCCCTTCTTGCACAAAAAATAGTTGTCTGTCTCCTCCTGGTTCTGAACCCACATCATCTGCTTGTCGATAAGTTCAATAGGGCGACGCGATACCACAACATCATGGAGACTAGCGGAAGTCAGCTTAATTCAACCCGACCAATTGTTTCTCATTCTACTTGACCCGCCGTTTTGCCGTACGATCTCGGACGCTCCACAGCGCTCTTTTACCTACAGAGAATTTCGCCGCTGCAGTCGTCGTGTCTGCCGCTGCCGCGCTCGGCATAGCCTCGCAGGCTTCTGTGTCGTCGTCGTTGTCGTCGTCTGCTAATTCACACACTCACAACAATCCACTGGCTTCATCATCATCACCACCACCGACACACCATCATCATCATCATCATCATCATCATCGTCGTCGTCATCATCATTATCACCACTGTCATCATCAGCAGCATATAGCGGTGCCAGCCTACTGCGCAATTACAGCACTTGTTGAGGAGGCTGCGGCGCCTACGGCAAGCAGAGCGCCACTCCAACTACCGCCGCTGCTGCTGGCAAACCGGCTCGTCGTTACCAAGCTAACCTAATCATGAGCTACAGAATTGCATGCAAACTATTCCATAGCTGCTTTTCGAGCACGGCATGAATGGCAGTTGAAAGCCGCGAATCGTTGTTGTTGTCAACGGCTCGCTACTGCTGTTAGCGCTACTAGTGTCGGTGGCGCGACTGTTGCTGCGGCTGCTGTACGGCCTTCTGTCTGTGTGTGTTTGTGTGTATATGTAAGTGTATTTGTGTATGTGTGTTTGAATGCGCGTGTGTGTGTGTGTGTGTTTGTACGTATTACTTCCAGTGGCTGCTGCCGCTGTCGTCGGGGTATCGCTCGCTCGTGCGTTCGTTCACTCATATTGTCTGTGCAGGTACTAGTGTGGAAAAACGACCAGATAGCGTCGTACGCGGAGAACCTATAATGTTAGATCGAGAGACTAGCACAGACTGTCAAACAAACGGACCGATTGACCGATCACGGCGAAACGGCAGCGTTGGGCAAACGAAAGGGTAGGAACGACGACAATCGTCAATCTGAGCTCACGCTCTACAACTTCTAACTGCAACTGCTACACGACGCTAATGCTATTAGAACTTGTTTCTAACTAACAGCGTTCAGGCGACGAGAACCACTTCAGCTGTTGTGTTTGCGACTTTTGCTACCGTCGCAGGAGACCGTAGCTTCAGTCGGTACTCGGTAGCGCCCGGCAGAACCCCGCTAAAACGCGGCGGCGCTATTGCTGCGGATGCTGCTGCTACTACTGACTGCGGTGCCGCGGCCTGACGTCGTCGCGCTTCATGTAGGGCTTGTCACCGCGCGTGCATAGTCTCAAAACGAGATGTTAACGAAGCCAGCTGGAAGAGGAACGACATAACAACGCAACCCCGTGCGACTGCAGAGGGCAATGCCAACGATGGTGTGGCATTTGTCACAAACTGAACTTCTAACTGGTTAGTTCTGTTATTCACTGTAGCTGAGTGGTAATTAAGCGGCCAATTGATTAGGAGGCACTCAATGTCGACCGCACCACCAGCTGGCCACCTCGTAATCGACCCGCGCAAGTAAGATATCATTACACGGACGACGAAGAACAGTTATTGGTATCCCTACTCTTACTACTACTACTACCAGTTGCTCTGTGTTTGTGGGTGCGGACTCACGTGTAGGTGCAAGTGTCGCTGCTGTAGCTGTTGGTGACATTACCCCAACCAGTGGAGAGATATAGTGTGCTACCGTCTTTGCCCTATGTGAGACGCTTCCTGTGTTGTCCAGAGGGTTGCCATCCTTTGTCATACTGCCGTCATCGAGCGTTTTTTTGTCATCTTCGACTGCCGTGTCCGTAAATGGGACCTGCAATGAACCGACTCACTGGCTCAGTACTGTTAGGTTAGTAATTACTAAGACACAGGTATACAATAATAACAGATAAAAAGCGCCAACGCAATGATGCCAATAACACGCAGCTGTTATAATGTCACTATTTATTATTATGCTTACCACTGCATGGTGATATGATAGTAACACAGCCACAAACATGCAAAGAGATACGGGTCGCGTGGCCAATCGAAAAATACCGAAAAAAAGCCTCAGGAAAAACGGCGATAGGGGAAAAATTAGATTGATTAAGAGCGCAAGCCACAGAGCAAAAACGATAAAAAGAAAGCGTGTCGTAAATTTAACACTGCGGTGATCCCTCGACCCTTGCGGAGTCAGCTGTTAGAAAAGAGGTAAACGTTACTTTTATTGTTACGATTATGGACGATCGAAGTAGAAGAAAAGTGCAGATGATGTCATTGTTATTACTTCGGGACCACCTGCTGCTCCCCTTATCATAGCTTCAATCTGTTGGTCCTTGGTTAGCAAAGACGGCGAGCAGTCAGGCTGTTACTACCGGCCTGATAGTGCGAGACGATATGACTGCTTAGAGCAAATGTGTCGCTCTATTCGCTTGTGAGAAAGGCTTTTAGGTGATGGCAATTGTGGATTTCGTTGCCCGAACGATTATATCCAGCAACAACAGTGTTACAAGAAAGAGGGCGTTAGCGGCGACAGGCCGCTTGTTTTCCGCGATGGTGCGATTCGCGAAAGAGGCTTCCGCTGTTGAAAATGTTTGAAGTCGTTTAATGTGGGACGATACCATTTAATGATAGGAAAAAACGTCCATGGGGTACTGAAGTAGCTGCTGTCTAATATCATTACGAATAATACAAACTATAATTACTTAAATTACAACAAAAAGCAAAAGAGCATAGCTACGCAAAATTGTAAACACCAGCCAGCTCACTATGATGTGTTTGGTAGTCGATAACTGAAACTGTACAAACAAGGAATTTCTCAGGTGTATTCCTGTGGGTATCCTTGTTAAGATGCCTATTGTGGAGGAACGCGTATACTACTCAATAATCTTGTCTTTCATATAAATTAAACCATATCAAATAATTGTTTATAATTTGCACGCAAGTTAGAATTGTTATTAGTCGAGTCAAGTCAAACCTCACTGTTCGCGAGAGTTAGTTTAGTTCGACTTGATTCTACCTTATTCTTATGGACAGAGAATAGCAAATAATGATCACACCTAAGTGTGAAAATCCTGAATTGATTGATTGTTTCACCCGTGAAAATAACGATTATTGATATTCTGTCTAAATTTCAAAGTTTAACCTAATGCGTTCCGTATAAGCTAGTTCCTAGAGGATGAGATTAATAATAGACATCTTAAACAAATAATAAACAGGATGACATTAAATAATAAACACATTAATAATAAACATAAAATAATGAACAACAGACACATTGATTTCCTAGTGGAGCGAGCGACAATCAAGCATGCCAACTCCCTTAGGAAAAGGTATTAGCTCTGATGTTTGCTTTTGTATTACCTTGTAAAGCTTAATCAGTATTGGCATTGTATGGATGCGTGGGATGGAAAATAGAGTAATCGCTCATGGTAGCCATTAACAATGCCGACACATCAAGGGACATCTGTATATTTATTAGTCACAGCGTAAGAGAGGATTCAAAGACGTTTAACGTTACTTGCAGTACTTAATTTGAAGGTTTTTGATTGTAAATATAATTTGTGTCGATAGAACTTCCAATTTTTTTCCAACTTATCTGCTGTTAGTTGGGATATTTTATAAAAAAAAAAAAACGAAATATATAGGTACTTTACGCTACAAGATCCAATTTAAAGCATTTCAATGACTTTACAAAGGCGCGTTGTCTGGTAAAAAAAGAAACATGAAATGCGACCAATTTTTATCCATCTAGAGGGAACAAGATAATCTCTTAGAGTAAGTAGTGATAATCATTAATAGTAATTGCCATGTTTTCTTTACCCTCATTCCAAACCAGGGATTTTATATCGTGCTCTTTTAAGATTCGATCGTCCCTGAGGTGAGGAGAGTTAGCTTCTGTTGTGAAGTTAATGGCTAAATATAGGAAAAAAAGGTTGCGAATTCGATACGTGCTAACTTCCGAAGTTAGATAACCCTTTTCTGGTAGGCACAAAATTGCTGTTTCAGTTATTTTTGTGATTTAGTTGATTGAGTGTTTATAGGATCGTTTGGCTGCAATGTTTTGGAATGGAATGTTAATTGAAGTTAATTCAATGGCATTGCACATATTATGCGTCACTTAGCAGATGATTACGCCAATTGAGTAGAGTTGTTAATAGAAAATATTCATAATAAAAAATATAGTTTTACGAAGTTGGAAAAAGGAAAAATAAAAAATTGCTATAGTCCTGTCGCTACGTTAAAATTTAAATATAGTGCACGCAATTACCTCGACGTCTACTTTCATCCATCTAACTCTATATTGGTATTGTATGGTATTGTATGTTTAGGGTACAGGTGTCCAACAAACGGTAATTGCAACTGGCTCGGACGTATTAGTTTGTTAATAATAGCCAGTCGTTCAACAAAGTATGGAATTCCATACTCCGATATCTAGTAGGTATTTTAATAGCTTACTTTTATCCATAGACGTCAATAATGCCGCCATTTATTAGTGCAGATTCGCACTCAGTGATAAGGGTCAGTGCAAACACTTTTAATACAACTACATAGAGAGTATATCTTTTTAAGTGACGAAACTATCGGTACTCGAAAGAAGAGAAATCTTATTATAATATCTACTTGTTTAGTTTGTTCCCTTGCTTTTGATCTCTAGGTAGGCTGTACTTGTACTGCGTGCCAAATGGACGCAGGTGCTCCCCTCGAGGTGCTGAAACCTTTGCTGAAATTTGGCCGTTGCCGAATATGTAAGCCGACGCGATACACGCATGCGCCGTCAATGTGGCTGCTTGCCGTTAGGATCGCCCCCGACTTCGCCACACGGCCGTGTTCGTTCACTCCTTTTGCGTATACTAAAATGACGTCCTCGCGCTCCCTATAGCTGAAATTATTAGTGGAACAGGCTTTTAACTAGGGGCTTTTAGGGCGGCTCGCAGCGATTGACTCACTGGATGCGCTTACCACCAACATCTATCTAATCAAATCAAATCTAATCTAACCTATTTAATTTAATATATATCCACCTAATCTATCTGATCTATTTAACGTAATCTATCTATCCATCTATTTAATCTAATTTATATATAATCTATTTATTTATCTACTTAATCTATCTGTGCAATTGGTCTGTGTGGTTTGTGCTCCGGTTTAATACGAATGTGTGCCTATGTTATTTGTGCTGGATTGATCGCCGTGCTGCGGCTGCTCATGCGGGACACTTGCTCCTCCTCCTCCCCCTCCTCCTCCTCCTCCTCTTCCTTCTCCTCCTCCTCATGACCATCTGCTGTTCCGTCTCTCTCCCTTTGGCTCCTAAACTTATCCGTTCTACTTTGGCCGCTGTTGGCGGGAGGCCGCCATCATAAGATAGCTATGGTCATCGTCCTTTCTTCCTTTCCCTCCGTGCACTGGCTGGCGATCGTTGTCGTCTGCAAACATGTGTGTCTGGGTTACGTGAACGATATATGCTACAGGCAACGACTGTGACTGGTTCTGAGTGGCGCTTGCAGCGCTTTGAAAGGGCTAGGCAGTAACGAGCGCACGTTCGTTTTCCTTGTCGCTGTTCAGCTATATCAGTCAGCCAACCAGCTAGGTAAGCGCGCTCTGTCTGGTGAGTGACCCGGCCATACTAAGCTCCTCGTTGGCGGCCGTTTTCGTGAGAGCCTCCACATTTAGCCGTCGTCGTCGTCGTCGTCGTCGTCGTCGTCGTCGTCGCCGCCGCCGCCGCGAACCACCACCGCCGCCACCGGCACTGCCACTGCCATCGCCGGTGCCTCTGCCGCCAACGACGAAAACGAAGTATCACAGGCCCATAAACTGCTGTCACTGCTGGGACGGCGTAAAGACGGCAGGAGAAGCAAGAACAAAAAGAGAACTGCTGTTAGAAGACCTGTGTGTACGGGACGGATACGGGCGCCTGTAAGTAGTGTGTGCGGTTCCTGTGCCCGGTTGTTCGCTTGGTTGTGTCGTCTCGCCGCCGCCGCTGCTGCTGCCGCCGCTGCATCGACAGGACGTGTGTTGTTTGGTCGTGTGCTCCTGTGAGGGCGCTAGTTGTATCGGTCGCTACCGGCGGCGCTGCTGTTGCTGCTGCTACTACTTCCACTGTGAGATGACTTGGCGAGTGTCGCCTGGTTAGCGGGCGTTGTGTGCTCTGCTGCGGCAGCAGGATCATCATCATAATCACGATCACCATCATCTCCACCATCATATCGCCGTAGAGTAGCGCAGTGCAAGTGGCCACAGCAGCAGCAATAGTAGTAGTAGTAGTAGTAGTAGCAGTAGTCGAGAGGCAGTTTGGGCGGCTGCTTACTGACTGGACGAGAGAGTTTGTTCGTCCGTCCGTCCGTCTGGCTGTGTGTCGTGGTCCTGCTGCCGGCCGAGGGAGGTCCTGTCTCGTCGCTGTCTGCCTTTTGCTGCTGTGAGTGGTAGCATCGAGCCTGTTCGCCCTACCGAACCGGTCGCAGTATAGCTGCTGCGAGTGTTGCTGGTGTTACAACAGCGCTGCAACGGCACCACCCGCCGTCACCAATAGCACCATCAATAAATACGACCAAGATCACAGCAACAAGCACCGGCAGCACACACAGGGTTTAATAATCACGGATTTGTGTTCGCTAGAAGAGCCGTACCAAGGGAAATTTTAAGTAGATTCAGCTAGTCTGCTGATGCTGCTAATACTGCTGCTGGATCGACAGATTCACACAAAGAACACGCACAGTACGTGTGAAAGAAAACGAGGTCATACGAGACTTCAGTAGTTGTGTTGCGATCGAGGATTGGTGGCTGTGTGGACTAGCGGCAAGCAAAAACGATTTTGCTATTTTCACGTAAGGTCAATCAATCGGACTGAGTGCGACGAATGCTGTTGTCACATTTGTGAACGCGACAGGCAACGATCGTTAACGGATACGAACCAAGTAACGTAGCGAAGCGAAGCAGAGGAGCGGAAGTACGTTAAGGTTTTATCTTGCTGAAGGGTTAGGCTCAGCTTGTTGGATACGGTGCTTGTGAATCTGTTGGCCCGACCCTTCCAAGAGAAAGAGCGCTTGAGAGGCAATCAACTGCGCAAAGAATACGGGAACCTCAAGCCTCGCTTAATGAGATATTGTGTGACTGTGTTCGCCGCGTGTGTTTGTAATTCGAAAAATCGTGCAGCTCTTCATTATTCTGCACGAAACACGAAAGACCTGGTGGTCTTCACTGCAGGCGTTGCACCAACAACAATCTGATTCACAGCGATTGACCGTATCTAACATCCATTCAACTAACTACCATGTATCCCATCGGCCAGCGTAAGTAATATACGTGTATAGCATGTAAATATATTCTTGTGTACGAAATTTCAAACTCCTTCTCATAGGATTGGCTCTTCAATGGGCCGCCGCCATACTTATGAATGCTACTAGTGAGGCCAGGATCTGGGGTCGTTGCCTGGATATGGCCGACGTGTTGACCCTCATGGAACGAGCACATCCCAATAGGCCTAAGGAAAGCCGTCTCTTTCACCCCCCCCCCCCTCTCTCGCACCTCATCTCTATTCTGTAGTACCGGCAGCAATCTCAAAGCAGACGCGGCCTCTGGTATTACCTACACCTCGTGCTATTTGGTATTTCGCGTGCGTTTTAATCTATCCCACAGCTTTTTGAATTTTTATAACTGGCTTGCCGTCCTTGCGTCCGTTTGTGAGTGTTTGTTTATATGTGTAGGGCCTCTAGCCCCCGAGTGAGTACTTATGCTCATCGTCGCACTGTTGCTAAACACCGCTAGTATGATGACTGAACGCATTGCGTATTGTAATCGTGGGATGTGTGATGTCATTTGTACGTTCTTACGTAAAGCTCGAGGCTGAACTTATAAAAGGAGGAGAGATAGTCCGTTGGGGGGTTGTAAGGGAACTTGGTCATCAGAGCTCCATATTGTATTCAAGTACAGTCCCAAGCGTCGAGTGTGGCCTAAGAGACGCCGAGTAGCAATGAGTCGTTATGACGAAGAAAAGCGTTCGGTGACCGAATTTCACTGAGTGAACTTTTTCAGTTGTTTTCGTGTTAGTAGATGGAATATGGGTAGTTAGCCTGTGTCGCAGGGATATATCAAATATTTAATCGGCTAATTGTAACTATATAAAACCTCTATATGAGCAGATCTTTGTAAGCGATTGGAAAATATGTGGGATGGAATTCCATTTCGTTTATTATTGGTAGCGTCTTGTAAACGAGGACCTCTATGATTTCGCATTGTGAATAGACACGTGATATTTTGGGTAATCATAGACACCTATGATCTATATTGAATAGGTGAGTATCGCAAAATTCGTTGATACCCTTTGCAGTTTGCTACGCTTAAATGCTCAAATTTAGCGGCACAATTATGTGCAAAGATACGTACGTACAATGCATCTTTTGTCCTGGATGCCATACCAAAACTATTGCAAATAATACCATATGATGACGTTTGGATATTGTGGAACCGGACCACTTTCACGACTCCCTGTATGATTAACTTACTGTGTTTAATTCCTAAAGTGCGCCCGATTTTTGTGTGATTAGCTGAAGGGCTGACTACTAGAGTATACGTCACACAGATGAAATAGTAAGCCTAGAACGTGCGGTGGTTCTGCTGTGATTTCTTTTCTAAAATTGTGTCGATCAAGTGGTGTAACTAATACATCTATTAAGGTGCACGATTTTGAGTAAATAAATTTACTTGCTATCTGCTTACGTTCTTGGATCATTGAGGACGGAAAACTAATTTGTGCGAAATCTATTTGAACTTCACTGACCTATAATACTTTATGGAAAACATTCCTGAGTAACAGAGGATATAAAAACTTAAATTTTGCCTGCTATAATGAATATTCGTAGAAAACAGTGAACTACATTTCTGATTTGTCGGTGGTTAATATCTGGATTCTATCTTATCTCTTTTTTAATGAGTTTAATAATGGACAGTAACTCTTTCTCTCTCTCTCTCTCTCTCTCTTCATATATATATATATATATATATATATCATTTCTTCGCATAATTGTATCAACAACTTCAGATATCTCTGACGTATTGACTGACAGGGATCTGATCGAAGGATGCTATTGGCCATTATCAGACAGCTGCGGAGTAAACAAACTTCGTCTTTGATATCTTTTGAGTTTCATATCTGCGCATCTTTCGGCTGCATCTAGGCGCAAGCATTTGGCGGGCCGAACATTAACGATGGAGAAAAACCAGGTGACAGTCGCAAAGAAGAACCTAGCCACATACTGATACGATGGAGTGAAAGCAAAAGATAATTGTTTGCCGTTCTCCCCACCCGTGTTTTCTTCCCTACAACAGACCATGTTTCCAGTCCATTCTGTATTTCTACACTGGCCGTCTTATTGATCGATCTCAAATAATAAACATTTTATGCAATGGCAGTAAGAGAAAAGGGGGACAGGCATGTTTTTGTGACAGCAGCACATCTAATCTCGTATAATTGTCTCAAAATATTTTTTTGCTTCCTTTCTGACACGATTAAATTGATGTACCCTATGAGCATGATTTAGGATATATGTTAGATTTAGAAATAATATGTATTCTATTATTTTAAAGCTTATCGAGAATTTTATGTAGTCTCATATTTATTTGGAAAACAGGTATCAGAAAATAACGACACTCCTACACAGACAACTGAACACAGCAGTTTTGACTATGCTTTTATTGAAGGGTACTGTATTAATCCGCATCGAACTAGTGCAATTTTGCTGTAAGTGTTCCGTGATTTTTAATGAGTAATTTTGAAAAATATTTATCTTCACTTACAGACTTAATACTTATCGCCAGTTAGAGAGACGAATCTTTTAGGCTATGGTCCGATGCGGAAGTATTGTTTAAGTCAAGTTGTTGTTCTTCACAACGTTTTCTTCCTTACTCAGAATCCTACCCATATCGTGACTTTCTTGAAGATACCAGTGATGTGGATTTAAATACGTTTTTTAAATGAACAAGATTTTGCCCTTGTATCACACTGCGACTTAGTTATTGGCTTGTTTTGCACATACAATAGGTGTTCATTAAATAGGAGTTCTATATAAGGTTGTAAAGAATGGATGCGTATGAAATAGCGTCTTTCAGTGTTTTGACCCACAATTCCATAAGGGAACGGAATCCTATTTCTTTACTAATAGAAGAGGCCCTATAAGGCACTAGTATCAGGAATGCTTATTCAGGACCTATTTGAAGGAAAAACTGTTTGTATAGAAGTAAGTTAAGGTTGACCTGTCGACTGCATAGGGTCTGTTTTCTGTTGACATTGAGTAATAGTTACCTTTATGACTGCGATGACAGTGTGAAATAGATCAACTATCGAGTAACACAAATACAAAAACAGTTAAATAAATAAAATGGTCTATAAGAAGAACAGCGAAGGGCGCAGTGCTTAACGCGACCACTGCTGGACGCACGCATCGATCTTACTTTGCACATTAGTTATTTCTATATGGATGTTGATTGCTTGGCTACCATCTGATATCCGCAGTGATATTTAAACACGTAACGAATGTAACGGAAACATGTATGCACTCTATAAATGTAAACGAAAACATTCCAGCTCACCATTTAATTTTTGTGCAGCGCTAATTATTTCACTCGAGATTTCATAGCTTTCAAAGCTAAGGCACTTAGCCTGCTCTTTCAAGTCTCAGTTGAGTACGAAAAACGACATTTGACCGAACAATACTCGAATACCTTCCTCAAATATGATGTCCCACATGGTTCGAATGAAGCACAAATTATTACCCATGCAGGTATAACAGATATGGGCATAAAGGGACGACATTATTGTATTGATAATGAACGATGTATCATAACTCTCATTATAAGCACAAATTAGTAATGCAGATTTGTTTCACTTATTTCAGCGGGTGGTCCAGTGACCCCCGGTGGTGCATTAGGCGCTATGGGAGCGCCGGGCACTCAGCTTCCAGTGGCACGACCTCAGGGTCCTCTTTCACCGCCTGGTAGTGCTGTGGTCCCGCTCAATGTCGGCATGGGAGCGCCGCCGCCTCCACCCTCGGAACTCAACTTCGTCTGCCCACGCAGACCTAACGTCGGCACCGAAGGTCGGCCAATTATGCTGCGTGCCAACCACTTCCAGATTACAATGCCCCGTGGCTACCTACATCACTACGATGTCACAATCACCCCGGACAAATGCCCGCGTAAAGTAAATCGTGAAATCATCGAGACAATGGTGCAGTCTTGCTCAAAAATCTTCGGTAACCAAAAGCCCGTATTTGATGGCCGTAAAAATATGTACACAAGAGATGATCTTCCTATTGGAAAAGATAAGGTAGAGCTTGAAGTAACCCTTCCGGGCGAGGGCAAAGACCGAGTGTTTCGCGTAGCAATCAAATGGATGGCTCAAGTGAGCCTGTACGGTCTTGAAGAAGCCCTAGAAGGGCGATCTCGTAACATCCCACTAGACGCTATTCAGGCTATGGATGTGGTGATGCGCCATCTACCTTCCATGACGTATACACCAGTTGGTCGTTCCTTCTTCAGTACTCCAGAAGGCTATTTTCATCCACTGGGTGGTGGCCGTGAAGTGTGGTTTGGTTTCCATCAGTCTGTTCGGCCCTCGCAATGGAAGATGATGCTCAATATCGATGTATCAGCAACGGCCTTCTACAAGGCACAGCCAGTCATCGAGTTCATGTGCGAAGTACTCGAGCTTCGAGAGCCAGCCGAACAACGGCGGGTGCTCACCGATTCACAGCGTGTGAAGTTCACCAAAGAGATCAAGGGGCTCAAGATTGAGATTACGCATTGCGGGTCAATGCGCCGCAAATATCGTGTTTGCAACGTTACGCGTCGACCCGCCCAACTACAGTCGTTCCCGCTGCAGCTCGAGAATGGCCAAACGGTAGAGTGTACCGTGGCTAAATATTTTCTTGATAAGTACAAGATGAAGTTGCGCTACCCGCATTTCCCATGCTTGCAGGTGGGCCAAGAACACAAGCATACATACCTCCCGTTGGAGGTGTGTAATGTGGTGGCTGGACAGCGCTGCATCAAGAAGCTCACCGACCTACAGACTTCGACGATGATCAAGGCAACCGCCCGTTCCGCGCCGGACCGTGAACGTGAGATCAATAACCTCGTTCGCAAGGCCGACTTCAACAAGGATCCCTATGTGCAGGAGTTTGGTCTGTCTATCGCGCATACTATGATGGAGGTTCGTGGGAGGGTGCTGCCTCCGCCAAAGCTGCAGTACGGTGGACGCACCAAAGCTCTGGCGTTGCCCAACAGCGGCGTGTGGGACATGCGTGGCAAACAGTTCCACACCGGTGTCGAGATCCGTATATGGGCTATCGCGTGCTTTGCCCCACAGCGGGGCTGCCGCGAGGATGCCCTACGCAGTTTTACGCAACAGCTGCAGAAAATATCGAGCGATGCTGGCATGCCGATTATCGGTCAGCCGTGTTTCTGCAAATATGCCTCTGGCCCCGATCAGGTAGAACCAATGTTCCGCTACCTGAAAACGACGTTTCAGGGCTTACAGCTGGTGGTCGTCGTGCTGCCAGGCAAGACACCAGTGTACGCCGAAGTCAAACGCGTCGGCGACACCGTGCTCGGTATGGCTACGCAATGCGTGCAGGCGAAAAACGTTAACAAAACATCACCGCAGACCCTCTCCAACCTATGCCTAAAGATCAATGTCAAACTCGGTGGCATCAACTCAATCCTTGTACCGTCTATCCGGCCAAAAGTGTTCAACGAGCCTGTCATTTTCTTCGGATGTGACGTTACTCACCCACCTGCTGGGGACAATAAAAAACCTTCGATTGCCGCTGTCGTAGGATCGATGGATGCTCATCCGTCCCGGTATGCGGCCACTGTACGAGTACAGCAACATCGACAAGAAATTATTCAGGATCTCGCTTCGATGGTCAAGGAACTTCTAATACAGTTCTATCGATCAACGCGCTTCAAACCGAATCGAATAATTTTTTACCGGGACGGAGTATCGGAAGGCCAGTTCCACCAAGTTCTGCACCACGAGCTAATCGCCATTCGGTCTGCTTGCCTACAGTTGGAGTATGATTATAAGCCAGGTATGATTTTTATGACGTTGGCAACTAATGAGTACAAAATAATCTTGCTTTGGACGCAATTAAACGAATCTACTTTTAAGACAAGTAAATTTATTCGTATGATTTAGCGAAGGAATGTTTCATACAGTACTATTACATTATTATTTAGCAATGCCATAGAATATTAAGATACGTTTAGTTCTGGCTTGGAGAGAAAATTTGATAGGCAGTTCTTTAGGTATTAAACTTGAATCCTACGACAGTGATCCGCAATATATTTCTTATTTATGTCTAGCACTCGATGGTATTCATGAATAACTCGGTGGTTTTGTCGTCTCTCCTTTTTTGAAAACAGGAATCACCTTAATAGTAGTCCAGAAACGCCACCACACTCGTCTTTTCTGCGCAGACCGCAAAGAGCAGATGGGAAAATCAGGCAATATTCCTGCTGGCACGACGGTCGATGTAGGTATCACGCACCCAACCGAGTTTGATTTCTACCTTTGTTCTCATGCCGGTATCCAGGGCACATCGCGACCTTCGCACTATCATGTGCTCTGGGACGACAATCAGTTCACAGCCGACGAACTGCAGTGTCTCACCTACCAATTGTGTCACACGTATGTACGTTGTACACGCTCAGTATCAATTCCAGCGCCTGCGTACTACGCTCATCTGGTAGCGTTCCGTGCACGATACCATCTCGTCGAGAAAGAGCACGACAGGTACGATAATATTAACAAATTGCTTCGAACGTGCGGAGAGCGTACAAAGCGAAAATCATTTGTGTTTAAAACGTGTTATCTTTCTGATAATAGTAGTTACACGATTATTACACCCCATCCTGATCTACGATAAAGTGTAGTATATACGATATGCTACAGTGAGTGAAACCAGATTTTGTAATAATAATATTATATAATTGTGTATTTACTTGTAGTATATGATCATGGAAATTAATACCTTGTCAAACTACTCTTTGTTCTGTACTTCTTCTGCATGCTACTGCTATAGAAACAAGAATCATCCTGCTATATACATTTTTTTGCTATATTTCATATTTACAGTATTTTATTGCACGAACCCTGCAAGATAAAGGGGCCATGGTCTTACCCAGGCTTAACTAGCCATACACATAGTAAACGTGCTTGTAAAATCGCCCATTTGTGCATCCCTTAATACATACCTCGTACCTTGTTGTTTACAATGATCGAGATAAATGTACAGTTTATTTTTTAGATTTCCTAGAAATTTGTTTCTTGCAGTCTAGCGAATAAAAAGGAGATCGTTGGCTCTCTTCATTTTGTTCTTGGTTCACATTTATGGGTTTAGGGGTGTCGCGAAAGGAAGGCCAGCTATCAGAATATTTTTTCTAATTTTCTGCTTTTTCCTTAATATATCGGACAGAGCCATTGCATAGACAGTGAATGATATTGCAAGGCAAACTTTTGCTACGTGTATATATTACGCAGAACATGTTTACCTTTAGCGACACTCACCAGAAATCAAGTGCGTCATATAGTTGTCATAATGCCACTCTGTGCACCCTAACTGCTAGGTACTGTTGTGCTTGAAACGCCGCTTACGTTAAAATGTGTTTGGTTTTCTCTCGGATTTTTTGTTCATGTTTGTTTCTCGGTTGCCGTTGCTGGTCATGATCATGGTCATGATGATGATATTGATGTTGCTCCCACTACCACAACTGCCTTCACCAAAACCTCAACCACCTCTGTCACCGCTACAACTTCACATCGTGACAAAAAAAAATCTTCATCTACACCACCTTCACGTTGTTTTAAATTGATTCTTCAATGTCTCATCGCTTACGCCTTTATGGTCCCATCCTTCTACCTGTTTCAAATCATCTATCGACACAATTTGTTCAATATCGACTTTTCGCAATGAAGTGGCGACGGGAGTCACCATTCAACAAACGGAGACGACAATAATCCTATCGCTTTGGCACGGGCAGTTGCTGTTCATATGAATACCATGAAAGTCATGTATTTCGCCTAGATTTTGTCGACAACATTAAAAAAGATCTTTTAAGATGAGCAATACTTTTATTTGTGTTTCGGGGTGGGGTTCGTAAAGGACATAAAGTTAAAAGAAGATCTGCTATATTGTGAATTGTGAATGGCAGCAACAAAGACCATTTCTAGCAAGAATACCAAGAATTACTTTACATTCTACTGCTATTTACTATCGAAGAAAACTAAAGCAATCATAAAATTTCGAGACTCTCACAACTTCCCGTTCACCGGTCGGAAGTTCGTTTCCAGCGATACATGTTCAAATAGCTCCACTTCAACCGACGCAGTTCGGTGAGCGTTGGCGCCACCGTCGCAAGCCGCCAAGAGCCATAGCTACATCTAATGACTGCCCGAATAGTAGCTCGATGCTGTTGATTCATCGGCGCGACCTATCGATTCCTCGTTAAATCAACCTGTACTACAGCTATAATTTTTTAATATAAATTTAATAGTAATGAAGACATTCGAAGAAGATATCGACGAACCGATGTATTTATATAACGGCGTTGAGACGCCTTCGATACCACTATGCAGAGAAAGAACATATAGGGAACAAAGAGCCTGAGTGGATGCCCGCGATATGTAAGATGCCCAAGAAAGCTGGCAACTGAATAGACCGACGTTCCGCTCGAGTGAACTGATAACAAATAACGTCGAACGGGTAAATAAATCGATGAACCTCCTGTGAGTGAATCCCACCATAGCCAATCACAAAGACAAATGACTACAACTAAAGAAGAAACATCAAGAAACGTCAGCTACCACTTATTGACTCCATATCACCGTTAACATCGTTTCCTAGGCTGATTACCAGTATATGGTAGGACCATAATGATGCGTATTTTCTTTTGCTGCACAGTTATATTATCTTCGCTCATATTCTAGGCTGTTATAATTTGATTTATTTGTGTGTCAATGTTATGCTGATGTATATATATATATATATATATATATATATCTATATATAAGATATATATATCTTTCATATAATGTGTAATCTGAAAACGATTATGATAATGATAGTAGAGAACAGTGCCATCTTCAGTCATTCTTGCTGTTTTCGTTCAAAGCTTCCATGTTTCAGGTATGCATGTATGTGCTCCCTCAGCAACAAACTGGTTGTGAACGACACATGTCAGATAGTTTGGTGAATGAATAACATTAGCTGATATTCAGTTTGTACGGCTGTATTATTTTAATTGAATTACTGGTTAAAATTGCGAGGCGGTATTATTTTGTAATCTCTTTGCAAAAGTTTGCTAGTACAAATCACTTCTATTGTATATAATAGTACGGTAGAAGTTAATTTAACATTTTCCGTTTACGACCTGTTGTGTTTGTTTCTCTAGCGGCGAGGGGAGCCACCAGTCGTCGAACGGAGATGATCGAACGGTGGTGGCACTGGCTCGTGCAGTCACGGTGCATCCCGAAACACTGAAAGTTATGTACTTCGCTTAAGCAAACGTTATGTTGCTGCATTGAGGAGCCACGAGGAGCATGTGAACGACGGGGTCGCGGAAAAATGCGAACGCAGCCTATACACTAACGCTAGCGTTAAGAACAACAGCTGGAACATTCTCGGCATTTGTGATTATAACTATAGTATGATATTGTTCTCGTGACGAACCAGGGGGGAAACTCGAGAGAAACGCCCACATAGGCAAATACCTATCCGTTTACCTCCAGAGGCGCATTTCAGAAAGAACGAAAATAATGAAAGCAAAGCGTTGTCATCAATAGTTGCCGCTTACCATTGGGTTCAGGCTGCCTATAAAAACGAGGCAGTGACGAGACACGTATATTATTTAAGTTTGTCAAACAAAACAACGTAAATACATACACACAGACGCAATGCGTTATAAAACATACAATCATAAATGGAAGCAGACATACAAAGAAGATATATGCGCGTATACTTTGGTCGTATAATTGCAATTACCCGCCGCCATACTGATGTTCTAGATACATATTATACATATATTAGCTAGATAGTAGTTATATGTATGATTTCTGGTTCAATTTCGACAGCAGTAGACAAGGCACTAAGCGTAGATGGAACCAGTTACGTTCGTATGTGGTTACTTCTTATCTCGCTCTTTAGTTCCCACCGCAGTTTCGCGGCGGTTCTACATCAACAAAATGCATAAATGCAGATGACTTTTGGCAGAGAAAACGATTAACATCAAATACACTCACTCTTGTTGGCGTATAATAGAACAAGGACTGAAAGAAGGTTGGAAAATAGCGTGTCGATTACTTCGTTGAAAAACGCAAGTAATAACTATGATAATGTATAAATTAGGGTTATCACAGTTGTTATATTCTTACACACACACACACATGCAGACAGCGATAGACACTCGTTCACAGCCAGACACACACATACACACAGACACACAAACATAGACACACACACACGCACCAATAGATTCACTACAGCAGTCAAAGTGCAACTTGAGAAACACCGCTTAGACGCGATAACTAAATCATGCTTAAAAATGAGATCAAACGAGCGTATTTAAGGTGTGAATATAGGTACCCCCATATTTTTGCTTCTCGGGGTCACGTATTATTATTGTATGCATTTTTGGGAGGTCAATAGTATGAGCCATTGATAACGATATAAAGAACAAAAAATCCGGACGAAAAATCGATGTTTTCATACTCGAAATGAACAGTACGTGACGTGGATGATGATAACGAGATGACAATGAAACGGATCTGAAACTGATAAACGTGGCGATCGTAATTAAAAGGAATAGTAATGAATGTTTCCGGTCAGTTGTTGCTGTTCAGTATAGCACTGTCTCCGAACATAGGGAATATATTCAGTATAAAAGAACGCTGGCAACAAAAGTGTGGCTAACTATGTGGATGTCACTTCTTACTAGGACCACTTAAGAATGCTTAAAAACAATTGCCCGGCCCGCAATGAATTAGAAGTAGGTGGGTCCAAAAGTTTATTCTCTAATTAATCTACGGCTATCGTATCGATGCCGTTTTTTCAGGCTCAGGCTGCTAAACGAGACTGATGCTAAAGATCTGTTTAAAAATGACGCGCTCTCCACTGGTGCACTGCAATTATATTATCAATACCAACAGCGACATCTGTCTGTATGTGTAGCCCACAGCTAGGATGGAAAATGAAAACCCCTGATATCGGCTGATAGTACTTAAACATATTAAATGATTGTAGCAAAATGAATATTACTATATATATATATATATATATATATATATATATGACGACTAAATGAAGAACAACATTATTACGTGAACAGACATATTTCGTTGTAATTGCACTATCGAGCTCTCAAGTTCCCTTCATCTTTGACTCATCCTCAGTCCTGTTCATTTTGTACCGGGTGAACTATTTCTATCATATATATATACGCGCCCGCTGTTGCATTCGTGCGGGTCCGGATTATGAACGCCGTCGCATCGCAGTGTCTATAGACGGGAGTAAAATCGAGCTACGTAGCGGTTTACGGAACATTAGTGACAACGAATATAATTTTCCGCTTAAATTCGGTCTTTTAAGAATAAAGAAGCATTAATTAATATTTTAGACCACTGTAAGTCGCGATAGGCGCCTTCCAAAGCCCTTTAACCAAACAAACTGTAACAAAGTTTACACATGATAAAGAAACGACGATTACATGAGGAACATGACGAAGCCACGCCGAACTGTTCGTCCAGCAACAAGTGGCTGAATACAGACTTCAAGTTTTGTCAGCTCTTAACACTTATTGAACTGGGGAGTGACGACGTGAAGATCAAATGACACATAGACATGATTTAGCATAACGGCACAGAATCGTAAATGAAAAAACTACAGCCGGTGAGAAACGAAGTGGCAAGGAGTTTGCAAATTGCCGATTGAGCAAGAAAAGATTTATCTGTGTTGCATAGAGATAAGCGTGCAGTTAGTGGTGGAGTTCATCGACGCGGACAAGTGACTTGGCACTTGTTACGTCACCTTATGGAGTTGCCGCCAACGTTGTGGTAAAACTAAAATAGCTGCTTAAAACGAATGGTGAACTATAGTATGTTAATGATGAATATTATTTTTATTTTTAAGAAAAAGCTCAACTGCAACATCCAGCATGGAAAAGGTGTAGACTCTGTCGTTCAAAGATGTTATTATTGATATTGCTACTTGTGTGCTGATGCGGCTGAGGTCACACTGGCCGACAGGCCTGAAGGTGGCACGAAGTTAAAACGAAGCGGACACGATCTCTATCTCGTAAAGGGCAAGTAGAGGTGCGGACGTATCCCTTAAAACACGAGAAATTTAACACAATCCAATGCTATTATCACAGATAGTATCGAATGATCTTAAGCTGAAACCATTTTGTCAATTATATCCACTCGGACTGTAAAAAGTCTATAAATTCATTTACATATACATACATAGGTATGAAGAAGTGATTTACAACGTAGATAAAAAGAGATCTATAAACAGCAATTGTACGGTCTACAAATGGCGATGCTTATTAACTACATGTTTATCAAGTAATTTATCACCATTATAATCCTAATAATAATTATCATTATTATTAATATTACTATTATCCTGATGCGTAGATGCTGCTGCTTACTATTTTCACGGCTTACTGATATTAATAAGAACGCCGTATTCAATATTCATGGGATTCTCAACTGTTCGGTTTTTTCTGTTCTCAATCAGGTTAATCAAGGGAAAACAGGGCTAATACAAGCCCAATCCGCAAAAAAGGATTTTTTCTGTGGTATGTGTGTATGACGTTCAATTATAGAAAACAACAGAGCGGTTATGGGACTAGTCGGTGCTCATGCCATGTGTACCCACAAATCGTGTCAACACAGGTGAAAGTACTGTCTTCAAACTTTTGCTGTCTGAAGTTTACAACTTGCCTGCTGATCTGTCTAAGCTTAAGTCTTCATTAGTTTAATGATTTTCGTAACTCCGTATAGTACAGATATCGTTTATGATAATAACCTTTCAATGATTTCGTGGTTCTGCTTGTGTAGGTATGTGTGCGTGATATGTGACAGTTTTACTTCGAAGTTTGCGAAGAAGAGATCGAATGTCTGTAATTCGTTATAGTTATATTTATATTTTGCTTTTCAAGAATTACCGGTATTATGCAACGCACCACCAAGAGACAGTTCTTGAATTACCAACAAGAATTAGACACTCATTTCGAATATATAAGCTCGGCGGAACTGTTTAAACAGGCCTGCAGCTGACTGAAAACGCTACGTTCATAATCGAACCAATTAGTTATGAAAATATAATCAACCGAAAATTTCGCTCTTGGCTTGAAAATACACAGTGACACTGGATACAATTGCACCCCACCTATCTTCTAACAGAAGCGATGTAGCAAAGGCCATAATTAACACTATGTTGGTATGTCCTATGCGCTGAGTTGACGAACACGTAATTAAATTTGTCTTTTTGCCTTGCTTACATATGTGTGTTTAAGTGTACGAATGCGTAAAGAGTAGAAGAGGAAGCAAGAAGCAAAGTTGTATGTACTACCCGAAATACACCTGCCTATTTGCGTGATATAAAGAGATAATACCAAAGCTAACCTTCACCTCGGTATGCTTTAATTACACGGTGGTCTTCTATGAAAAGTTATCTGCGATCTTCAACTCAACAATTGATATGTAACATAACCGATCGTGCTGAATCTACAAATGTAATTAATATAAAGTACCTCAACGACTCACTTTAGCAACAGTCTGTTCCCTATCAAGCGCTCTATTTTGTCAACTACGTAATTGTGTTGAGCGTTGGTTCGTTATCCTTTGTGACAACGTAGTTTCCCTAATTGAAAGTGCTGCCACGGCCACTTTGGTTACCAATTTACCTAGGTGCGTAGGCTGCCTAGGTTGGTCACGGTCCATAAAGCTAGGTTCGGACTCGATAGATGACCACGATTAGAAAGCGGCATAATGCTGTTGCTGACTCATTAGTGAAATTATTTATACTGTACGAAGATCTTAGTAGAAATTATAACAACAATAGACAAACAGTAAGCAAAATATTATGACGGACTTACTTACCGAGTTATTGATGATTGATGCTGGACGTCCCCACAGACCTTTGGTACACATTTGAGTTGGTGTGACCCGACTTGTTTGCAACCGAATATTTGCAAAATAGGACGATTGACTTCAAAAACATTTCCTAAGCTGTAACAAAGTGCATATATATGACTCTAGATTAACGTTGAATTCTTCTCAGTTAACTTTAAGAAAAATTATAGTGTAAATAACGCCGGCGAGACACGCAAGGCGTAGGGTGGGTACGTATTTCGAATCAAAGTGAAAAAGTTTGGGGAGCATGCCCTAGGGCATTGGCCAAATATGTCCATATAAGCATGCAGCATCAGGACGAGCATGTTATTATTACTATTGTTAGTATTATTATTGTTTTCT